GTTCAGCTTCTCCTGCTGTCCTTTTCTTGTCTCCTTCCTTGAATCAGCAGAGAGAGTCCAGCTGTGAGCAGCTCATGTCTTTAACAAACTCTGCTGATATCTGCTGGACAAAGACACTTGATCATAAATACTATTGTTAGTGGTATTATTTCCCATCATCACTGCACGTTTTGTCCTCATGACACCATCTTTAGATCCATCTGTAACATCACACCTGTCATTTGTCTGTAATTCTTCACTGCACGTTCACAGTAAACATGTGTCTCCATAGAATGTGCATCACTACAGTCTGATGCTCAGTTCTTCACTACATCAATCCTCTAGTTCAGAGGTCTTCAACAGGGTGTCTGCGACCCCTAGGGGGTCTGTGGGGGTACTGCAGGGGGGTCGCGAAATTTTTGGTTGATGGGACAATTTTTTTTCTATTTTCTTAATTTTTTTAACCATTTTTCCCCACAAATTGAATTGTCTTTAAATACACATGAACATGAATCCAACATGTTGTTGCGAATAGCAAAATGGAGGCAGAAGACGTTGTCTTTCAGTGAGCAACACACATTCAGCGACACACAAGAGCTCTCTGAAGCCTGGCACGGGTTCACTCATAGCTCAGGACTACCTTAGACCTGGCCCTCCAAGATTACTGCACAAAAAAAGGAGGACCCGCACCCATCACTGCTGGGCCAATCACAAGGCTGCATGTTACACGCTGCGTCTGTCAGATTCCCCGTGATTGGACGAGAGTCTATTCAGTCCCCAGCTGACTAAGATCCCAGACACAAGGACGCACACTGTAATATTATTGACAAGAAGATACCTTTGTTTAAATAAATGAATACAACAAATAACAATTAAAAACAACGATATTTAGTTCATCCATGAATCCTTTTGCAGTCATTGTTGTAAGATATTCCTGGTCTAAAACACTGCAGCTCCTATCCACAATGACTAGTACTGAGGCCACTATGTTACTATGACAAGTGCATGGCTGTTGTTATGACTGAAAATTGATCATTTTATAACCTGAAACCTCCACAAGCACAAGAGAGACACCCTCTGTACGTCATTTGACTAAATGGCTGTTAAGCTTGTTCTCCATGAGCCACCGTACTTGTGTCTCTGACATGTTACAGCTCAGCTGATCAACACACACTATGGTCTGTCTGGTGTAGCTGTGTTACCCAGAGGTCTGTCAGAAAGCTGTCCTGCCTCTTATGAGTTTATTCAATAAACCGGAAAGCTGCTGAAAGTTGTGTGATCCTTGAGTCACACAAAGGAACGAGTTTCTACATGGTGTCAGATGTTTATTGGACTTTTCACCTGTGAGTTGCTGTTTTTCCAAACAGCCTGTTGCTTTAGCTGAAGCAATGGCAGACGGATTTCACAGACCAGATCCAGTCTTGTTTGATGAAAATGTCGCAGAGAATTAGTGCATTTCTGAACGGGACCTTGATATTTTTATTGCTGTCGCCTACTCTGATAAACCTGCAAAGACAAGGACTTATGTTCTCCTCAACCTGGCAGGAGCAGAAGCCATTGAACGAGAACGTTTGTTTGTTTGCGTGCCTGGACAGAGCTGTTGTGGAAATTCTAGAAGAGGTTGATGTAGGATGAGGAGCCCGACACAGAGGCCGTGTCTCAATGTGCGTACTTGTCTGTACTTGCGTTCTTGCGGACTTGTGAAACGTCATCAGTCTGAGACTAAAGTACTGTCCCTGGCTGTGTCCGAAATCACTCCCTATGCCCTATATAGTGCACTGTATAAGGTGCACGCCATTTTGTAGGGGTGTCCCAATGTTAAGTTACAAATGCTACACCCTAAATAGTGCACTCAAAATATCCCACAATGCACCGTAAAAAGTAGTGTACACCCGATGGTCACTAACCGAGCAATATGGACCGTCATGCATTGCGCGAAAGGAAATGGAAATGGAGATGAACGAGAGCGCGGAAAAATTCCCGTTTGTTTTGTTAAATTGTATTTTACCCGGACAGTGAATGTCGCTAAAATTGCGGCGCTCGGTTGTGATTTGGACATACAACACCACTTTATTTAAATTGCTTTTAATTACTGGATCCTGAAGAAACGCTCTCTCATCTGGTATGTACAGCAAAATGACAATAAACTTGATTTAATTTGATTTCTTAGCTACACAATAAATTGTTAATTTGATGTGTTTGTACTACGCTGTTGCAGCACAAATCGCGGCTAGCGAGCGACGTAATTAACAGCTCGAGTTGTGTCCGAAATGATGCTTTGCCAACGTGCTCCCTACATAGTGATCACTACATAGTGTAGTGAGGAAGTAGGAAGTAGGAAGTAGGGAGTGAGTGGGTGATTTCGGACACATCCCCAGTTCTAAGTACGCATCTGACCAAGTACGCATGAAATGCCCGGATGTGTTCTCGCTCCGCCCACATTATCGAGTCTGAATCAGACCGGACTTGTGTGGACTTCAGACAGCCAAGTATCCCAGAATGCATTTCGTGCCACCTAGCGGCAAAAGCCGAGGAGAAAACTCTCAACGGCAACACAGGCTTTTTTGTAAATACTATTGTTATTGTGACACAAGCTGTAGTTTTATGATTATTTGAGGCGAGAAAGTTTTGGTATAAACGCCAAATATGTGGTCATTTTATCAAGATAATCGGGCTCCGACGATTTCGGAGATGTGAGCGTCCCAGTTTGACCGCTGTGTCAGCGATTACAGTAGCCGCCGAGAGCCGCCTGATGTCGGCCAGACTTACTGAAGTCTGCCGCTGACGGCTCCGTAGCGGTGAAACAGGGATATACGTAGTTTAGCGTCACACTTTGTCCTCACAGTATAATTTGCGTATTGCTCATGTGACAAGTTGAAATATGCACTGCTACTGCAGAAATATCACACTGTTAATTCATGATTTATAATTTTTTTTTTAAAGTTTAAAATGGTTAAAAGTATGTTTAAGCCGTGTTCTCAGTGTGTTAAGTGGCCGTCATTCTGGGATCGATTGCTTTTGCCTGCAGTTTGTCACTACGGGAATCAGTGGCGCTTCCCTCATTCCAGTAAAGTCGCTCACTGAGGAAACGCCACTTGATCACTGTTGTGATTATTTCTTCTGTATTTATCAGCCACCCCTATTCAGGGGCGCAACACTCACAATCGATTTAAAAGAAGTGAAAGTTAATGTTGGAACTTTATATTTTTATTTAGTGTTGTACTCGATCGCTGCCTCAGTACGTCTGAATTATTCTCCTGCTTTAATTTCCTGTAGGTCAGCCTTGTTCTAGTCCTGTGACTGTGACTGTGCATTAAAAATAACATTTAAGCAAATAACATGTTTTAGTGGCGGGCAGCTGGATAGACATCCTCCTGACTGCTGGGAGACTCCCCAGAACATGAGCAGCTCCATCCTGGACCTTCTGACAGAGCATCTGTGTCCAGCTCCACTGAAGAGCATCAGGAGGAGCAGAGGCACAACGTTTTTCATCTGTAGATGTTTTGTAAGAGACTTTTGTCCTGTTATAAAATAAAATCTTATAAAAATGACCCTGTTTATTAATTGTTATATTTATTATATATAGTTCTTGTCTATTTAAGTATTTTTGCAATTAAAATTTTTCAACTGTATTCCAAAGATGAATA